AGTTGTCAACCGTGATGGCGAGATCATGGAACGGGCAGTCCTTCCCCGGGAGGAAGAGCAGCTCCGTCTTGCCAGGGTTCAGCTTGAGGTGGTGATCCGTCATCCATACTGATATGTCTGCCAGACATGCAGAGATGCGATTCGCCACCTGGTTATCAGAAGGGGGAAAGGAGAAGATTAGTTGTGTATCGTCAGCGTAGCAATGATAGGAAAGGCCATGTGAGGATATGACAGAGCCAAGTGACTTGGTGTATAGGGAGAAAAGGAGAGGGCCTAGAACTGAGCCCTGGGGGACACCAGTGGTGAGAGCACGTGGTGCGGAGACAGCTTCTCGCCACGCCACTTGGTAGGAGCGACCGGTCAGGTAGGACGCAATCCAGGAGTGAGCCGCGCCGGAGATGCCCAGCTCGGAGAGGGTGGAGAGGAGGATCTGATGGTTCACAGTATCAAAGGCAGCAGACAGGTCTAGAAGGACAAGAGCAGAGGAGAGAGAGTTAGCTTTAGCAGTGCGGAGAGTCTCCGTGACACAGAGAAGAGCAGTCTCAGTTGAATGACCAGTCCTGAAACCTGATTGGTTTGGATCAAGAAGGTCATTCTGAGAGAGATAGCAAGAGAGTTGGCTAAAGACGGCACGCTCAATAGTTTTGGAAAGAAAAGAAAGAAGGGATACTGGTCTGTAGTTGTTGACATCAGTGGGGTCGAGTGTTGGTTTTTTGAGAAGGGGAGCAACTCTCGCTCTCTTGAAGACGGAAGGGACATGGCCAGCGGTCAAGGATGAGTTGATCAGCGAGGTGAGGTAGGGGAGAAGGTCACCGGAGATGGTCTGGAGAAGGGAGGAGGGGATGGGGTCAAGCGGGCAGGTTGTTGGGCGGCCTGCAGTCACAAGTCGCAGGATTTTATCTGGAGAGAGAGGGGAGAAAGAAGTCAAAGCATAGGGTAGGGCAGTGTGAGCAGGACCAGCAGTGTCATTAGACTTAACAAACGAGGATCGGATGTCGTCAACCTTCTTTTCAAAGTGGTTGACGAAGTCATCTACAGAGAGAGAGGAGAGGAGGGGGGGGGGGGGGGGGGGAGGATTCAGGAGGGAGGAAAATGTGGCAAAGAGCTTCCTAGGGTTAGAGGCAGATGCTTGGAATTTAGAGTGGTAGAAGGTGGCCTTAGCAGCAGAAACAGATGAAGAAAATGTAGAGAGGAGGGAGTGAAAAGATGCCAGGTCGGCAGGGAGTTTAGTTTTCTTCCATTTCCGCTCCGCTGCCCGGAGCTCTGTTCTGTGAGCTCGCAATGAGTCATCAAGCCACGGAGCTGGAGGGGAGGACCGAGCCGGCCGGGAGGATAGGGGACACAGAGAGTCAAAGGATGCAGAAAGGGAGGAGAGGAGGGTTGAGGAGGCAGAATCAGGAGATTGGAGGGAGAAGGATTGAGCAGAGGGAAGAGATGATAGGATGGAAGAGGAGAGAGTAGTGGGAGAGAGAGAGCGAAGGTTGCGGTGGCGCATTACCATCTGTGTAGGGGCAGAGTGAGTAGTGTGGGAGGAGAGCGAGAGAGAAAAGGAAACAAAGTAGTGGTCGGAGACATGGAGGGGAGTTGCAGTGAGATTAGTAGAGGAGCAGCATCTAGTGAAGATGAGGTCAAGCGTATTGCCTGCCTTGTGAGTAGGGGGGGACGGTGAGAGGGTGAGGTCAAAAGAGGAGAGGAGTGGAAAGAAGGAGGCAGAGAGAAATGAGTCAAATGTGGACATAGGGAGGTTGAAATCCCCCAAAACTGTGAGGGGTGAGCCATCCTCAGGGAAGGAACTTATCAAGGCGTCAAGCTCATTGATGAACTCTCCAAGGGAACCTGGAGGGCGATAGATGACAAGGATATTAAGCTTAAATGGGCTAGTGACTGTGACAGCATGGAATTCAAATGAGGAGATAGACAGATGGGTTAGGGGAAAAATTGAGAATGTCCACTTGGGAGAGATGAGGATTCCTGTACCACCACCCCTCTGACCAGATGCTCTCGGGGTATGCGAGAACACATGGTCAGACGAGGAGAGAGCAGTAGGAGTAGCAGTGTTTTTCAGTGGTGATCCATGTTTCCGTCAGCGCCAGGAAGTCGAGGGACTGGAGGTTGGCATAGGCTGGGATGAAGTCAGCTTTGTTGGCAGCAGAACGGCAGTTCCAGAGGCTGCCTGCGACCTGGAACTCCACGTGGGTGGTGCGTGCAGGGACCACCAGGTTAGAGAGGCAGCAGCCACGCGGTGTGGTGCGTTTGTGTAGCCTGTGCAGAGAGGAGAGAACAGGGATAGGCAGAGGCATAGTTGACAGGCTGTAGCAAATGGCTACAAAAATGCAGAGGAGATCGGAATGAAATGAGCTAAGCATCTGGGAGCGGAGAGAGCAGGGCCTCCCTCACCAAAAACGTCTACCTCAGAAACTAAAATTGTTTCACTGAACCACCCGAACAAAAACTCTCCCAACTTCCGCCTTTAGAAATCAGAATTGTTGTGAACCACAGCGGTTCAATGTTTAAAGGAATAGACTCAACCCACTTTATTCAGCTAGCCAACTATGACACCATAGCTAACTAGCAAGCTAGCATCCAATAACAATAACACACCGTTTAGCACCAACACTTGGTCACAACAAACCACCAATAGTGTGATAACACACTAAACAGATCATTCGTGACTGTGTCAAGTTCCTTTCATGACGCAGCAATGATTAGACGTTGGCTAGCTAGGACAAGTATATTGTATTTAGCTACTACCGTACAGTTAGCTGGTCGTGTTGGGTAGCTAGCAATGGCCACTGTGTTGACTTTGTTTGAAGAACGGCTAGCTAGCTAGCTTCGTGCTACACCCGGCACACAATGGCTATTGTGTTGACTCTGACTCTGTTCGAAAAAACGGCTAGGTAGCTCGCTTCGTGCTACAGCCGGCACTGCCAAGACACAGTAACTACACACAACAACCCACGATGCCTAGCTATGACGCCGTAGCTAACTTGCAAGCTAGCATCCATTAACACACAATTTAGCATCAATACTTGGTTACAACAAACTGCCAAGAGTGTGTTAGCACACTAAACAGATAATTCAAGTCCGTGTCTAGTTCCTTTCATAACGCATAACGCAGCAAAAAATTAAACGTTGGCTAGCACTACATTAACATTGGAACCAGCTCTCCAGCGTTGCTAATCGTTACCAGTAGCTACCCGCTAGCTAGCTAGCCTCGTGCTTCGATACTAACCTACAATTACCTACGGAAACCTACAATAACAACAATACTAACCTATAATAAATACAATACCTAACTACGGCTAACTACCTACCTACGATCTAATACATGGTTAAGCAAAAATTAAACGTTGGCTAGCACTACATTAACATTGGAACCAGCTCTCTAGCGTTGCTAATCGTTACCAGTAGCTACCCGCTAGCTAGCTAGCCTCGTGCTTCGATACTAACCTACAATTACCTACGGAAACCTACAATAACAACAATACTAACCTATGATAAATACAATACCTAACTACAGCTAACTACCTACCTACGATCTAATACATGGTTGAGCTTTACTCAACACCATATGAGAAGCTTACCTCCTGCTTACCTCCAGCTAGAGAAAAACACGACCTCGACACGACCTCTTCGTAAGAAGCATTTCAAGGTCCTGGAGTGGCCTAGCCAGTCTCCAGATCTCAACCCCATAGAAAGTCTTTGGAGGGAGTTGAAAGTCTGTGTTGCCCAGCGACAGCCCCAAAACATCACTGCTCTAGAGGAGATCTGCATGGAGAAATGGGCCAAAATACCAGCAAGAGTGTGTGAAAACCTTGTGAAGACTTACAGAAAACGTTTGACCTGTGTCATTGCCAACAAAGGGTATATAACAAAGTATTGAGAAACTTTTGTTATTGACCAAATACTTATTTTCCACCATAATCTGAACATAAATTCATAAAAAATCCTACAATGTGATTTTCTGGATTTTTTTTCCACATTTTGTCTGTCATAGTTGACGTGTACCTATGATGAAAATTACAGGCCTCTCTCATCTTTTTAAGTGGGAGAACTTGCACAATTGGTGGCTGACTAAATACTTTTTCCCCCCACTGTATATATATATATATATATATATATATATATATATATATATATATATATATATTTGCGAGATAAAAAAAACATATGGGGGATTGGAAGTGTTGCAGACAATTACATTGATGGAAGTTACAATCTATCTGCAATATTAAAGCTGATCTACCCCCTAAAAAATAAAAATAAATAAAAAAAATGATTACAATTTTGACATACCTGCAATGTGTTGAATCATGTGACAGATAGGCCTTGACCATAGAGCTGTATAGAGATCATTACTTGGAAATATCCCGGTTTTGCATGGACATTGCAATGAGGGCTTCCATCATTTTAAAGTAGTCAACTGGGTGGAGATTCCTATGAGTTGGGAGCGATCAGCCAATGATCAGAGCATTGTCTTCTTCTTCAAATTGGTTTGCCTAGTTTGTAAATGGCTTAAAGCTATATGACCGCCATCTACTGGCCACAATAAATGAATGACACAATATTTGGTTCAAGACTCCAGCACTGCAGGTGGCAGTAAGTCACCAATATTAGCTTGACACAAACATAAAAAGAAGAAGAAAATTGACTACTTTAAAATTGAGATAGCCTCAATGGCATTGCCAATGCAGGCACAGATGCCATAATGGCACAGATACAATGTTGCGACACTATACATCTCTATGGCCTTGACTTACTTTCCCTTCAGCCACTTGATGGTGGGGGGTGGAGCTCCGACCGCCTTGTTGGGCGGTGTCCTTCATCCAGGGTGTAGTCGCTGTTCTGTTGAACGTCAGGATCCTGGCAGGAGCTATGGGCGTTACACACATGCATCCCTGTGACTGTACCATTCTATTCCAATGGAAAACAATTATGAATAATAACAGAATGCAAGCAATATCCTAGATGTCATATCAATCAACACCATACCGCAATCACTAATCCTTCAGCAACATTAGTTTTGATTCCCAGCTTTCAATAGTTACACTGTTACACAGGCAACCCGTACCTTTGGCCCGAGGTTCCACTGTGATGGTCTCACTGCTGTTGCCTCGCCCAGCGGCTGTCACGGCAACCACCCAGATGCTGTACTTTCTGTTACGGGCCAGGTTTGGCACTCTGTAGAAATATACATCAGGAGAAGCCTCAAACTCACTCATCACCTGGAGAGAGGGAGGGAGAAAGGGAAGGGGTTTACACGTCTGTGCATTTATCATACAACTTGAACAGGGGAGTAATCTTCATGAGCTTTCTCTCTCCCTACAGGACTTTCTAATACAGTCCAGAATGTCAGGACTGGAGGCGGCATTATAATGAGCGCTCAAGGCTGCTGTGAGAGCTGTGTTAATAATAATACAGCTCTGTACCGTGGGGTGCAGGTTGGAGCAGAAGACAATGTACTTCCTGATGATGCCGTTGAGTTTGAGAGGAGGGAGCCAGGACACAAACACCACGGAGCTGGTGGAGGCTGCAGACTTAACCCCCGCTGGAGGCCCAGGGACTAGATGGAGGAAGGAGGGAAAATATTAGGTTAAACATACATATATACTGTATATATGAATAGAAACATTGAATATGGGCTTATATGGCCTTATTGCAGACAGTGCTTTATTACGTGCATAGTTTGAACTTTTGCAGGAATCATGCTTTGATGTCAATGTGAAAGCATAAGCAGAAAATAACCCCATACCTACTGTGACATATGGTGGATCTCTGATGTTATGGGGTATTTAGATTTTTGTTTAGTTTCTTTTTGACCATTTTAATTTCAAACAATCACAGTAAAGTACTAACCCTAAGGTAAAAACGGCTACATTGGACTTTAAATATATGGTTCTGGTTAAAGGTCCAATGTAGCCATTTTTATCTCAAGTACCTTTTTTTCTGGGTAACAATTAAGTACCTTACTCTGATTGTTTTCAATTAACATTTACATTATTTAGCAGACGCTCTTATCCAGAGCGACTTACAGTTAGTGCATACATTATTGTTAATTTTTTTTTTTTCATACTGGCCCCCCGTGGGAAACGAATCCACAACCCTGGCGTTGCAAACACCATGCTCTACCAACTGAGCTACCTCCCTGCCGGCCATTCCCTCCCCTACCCTGGGCCAATTGTGCGCCGCCCCATTGGTCTCCCGGTTGCGGCCGGCTACAGCAGAGCCTGGATTCGAACCAGGATCTCTAGTGGCACAGCTAGCACTGCGATGCAGTGCCTTAGACCACTGCGCCACTCGGGAGACTCGATTAAAATTGTCAAAAAGAAACAAAAATAGCTTCTTAGCTAAAAGCAATTTCTCAAGTAAGGATTTTGCTAGGACTGTCTGGGAGTGGTCTGAGTGGGGGGCCTAATTGGAGGAGCCTAATGGGAAGGATATGTAAAAAAATAAAATAAAATAAAATAGCTGTTATTAGCAGAGGAGGGCAAACTCTCTTTGTTATAGGTCTATAAACTTATACCACCTGGTGATGTCGCCAGGTGGTCCAAAACCCCACCCATGCAAAACAAGCAGTAATTTCAGGCAATCTTTTCAAACAGCACTTACACTAAAAGGGAATTAACATAATTTTCCTAATTTCACAGTATTACTCCAATCTCATAGTGTGGAAATAGATATAAAACACAGGAAAACCATGTTTCTGACTGCACTACCCCCTTTAAGAGTATTTGTACCAGACATTTTTCTCTGGGATAATGAAGTGACCTGAGGTGGCCAGTGAGGTGCCTGAGCCTCTTAGACTACAGCATCATTATAGGGATTAGCAGGCCTCTGGGAGCAGCTCAATTGGACTTTATCGAGGCCAGTAGTGACCTTTGAACTGCACCTCATTGATCTTTCGTAGTGATTGACTCGGTAGCCTTGTAAACGGAGAAGATTTAACTGCTGCTTGGCCGATTTCCTTGATATGTAACGACATATAGGGCCATATTGGCAACAAAGTCTTAGTCAGACACAACGCAAGTGTAGAGTATTACGTTTACCTCATCAAGATGCTTTCCAGATATTGAAACAGTGAAAATGACAGTTTGCCAGTGATTTACTGTAAGAGTAAAGTCACTGTCTATGCAGTTTTCAATAAAAAGTAAGGGAACAATGGCCTTCAGAGCTCTTGTGAAGGTCATTCCTCGCATGAGAAGATACATCATTCACTCCAGCTCCCCCTACAGCACAGCACATAACGCACCCTGTTGGATGAACTAGAGTGCCATAACCCACCCTGCTAGGATGAACCAGAGTGCCATAACCCACCCTGCTAGGATGAACCAGAGTGCCATAACCCACCCTGCTAGGATGAACCAGAGTGCCATAACCCACCCTGCTAGGATGAACAGTATGCCACTGGCTGAGGGTAATACTTCTCCTGAGATGTGAGTAAACAAGTGTCCTTTAGGTGTTTTGGGTGTGGGTGTTCCAGCTGAGCCCAGGCTGCAATATTTTCCCCTCTCACTTTAGCCCTGTTTATACCTGGTGCTAACATGCGTCCTTTGTCCACATTCTGATTTTGCCCACTTTGCATTTACACATGGTAATAAAATGTGTCTCTTGCCCGTCCACTGTGTCAGCATTGTGACCAGATTTAATGGTCCGCCCTCTGTATGCAAATATGTATTTATTTATTTTAAGACACATATTGATGTCATAAGTGGTATAATGATGATTTAAATGGCTTCACTGTCCAGATCTGTTTACACTTTTAGGTTAATTAATAATTTGGGGTGTGCTTGTATTTGTCCTGTTACACACTTCTACAAGTGTGTAATGGAAATGTGTTTCTTGCATATCCCAACGCCCCCTGAGACACCCGCAGGGTCACAGCCGACGTCACTATCGTCCAGCGCCCCTAGAGCAATTGGGTTTGGCCTTGCACAGCAACAGATTGTTCACTTTGTCGGCTCAGGGATTCAAACCAGCAACCTTTCGGTTACTGGCCCAATACTCTAACCTTGAGACTACCTGCCACCTGGCTACCTCCGGAGGTGGTCAGAAACATCTGATCACAATCAGATCACAATGTGTCTTTTAATCCTCTACACAAGTCCAAAAATGTGGGCGCAATCAGAGTGTGGACAAGATCTTCTCTCACCTATAAATTGGAGATAGATTGAAGCACCATGGGTCCGATAGGCCGGCACAGGCTTCACAACGCAGACATTACAGTTAGATACAGCCCTAAAATCAGCAGCATCTCTCAGATGAAGAAGCTTAATCTCACTCCACAATCTTGAGGAAAAAACAACACCTGTTTTGATAAACATAGAGTATAGTAGAATTGTGGTGTTACACATAGACGTACTGTATGATGTGTTAGGGCTTTCACACATAATACACTCAATATTTTAACAGAGGGAGAGCCCATCTGAATTCAGTGATGATACTGTATGTCTACTCTTTTTGATAGAACACCCTTCAAGGGCATGTTCTTGTCATCATAGAAATAGATGATATTTCTATGCTTGTCATTGTGGTGAAATATAATATATCGCCCATAGAGGAATAATACACTCATGGATGAGTGCACACCATAAAACATATTTACCCTGTACTGTACTTCCATTTTAAAGCAACAGCAAGGTACAATATATGTACACTACCATTCCTCATATTCTAGACTGGACATATACACTAATTAATTTCACAGTATAAGGTTACTGATAATAATTAATCATCCATATTGTTATGGGAACTGACAGTTCAATGATTGCGCCTCGCATCACTGCGCCGACCCACTTCTTCTAAATATATTTCCAGAAAATAAAAGCAAATAATGTGCAGATCACTTCCTGAGTTCCTGTCAAGCGTATCCTTCTATAATGAGAGCTTAGGTTACCATCTCTAGACAGCAGTGATCCACACACTTCCCCCATCTCTTGATTTGTTGGTTAGTGCTTCGGCGTTTCCTCTGTTGAGAGGCTGTACAGGTTTAGACAGCACAGAAAAATAAGGCTGATTGTAGCTATATCCTACTGCAGATTTAATTCATTCTATTTTATATTTCCAGCTACTACAGTATAATAATAGTTTCAATTATATGGATTTAATTCACTAGAAAATAATATTTGTGAAAATTTGTTTTTGATTGTGTTGAGAGGTTCATTGCTCAAGATATAGCTCAGTGTTATATACTAATGGGAAAATTCCACATGGGGATTATGTTTGAACTTCAGCGCTATATTAATAGCTTCCACAAAATCGAATGAAGTTTACCTTCACTGATCCTCAACTTTTTTGTTCTTTAGCTCCACTCAAGTCACTTTTGATTGATACGAGAGCTGAGAACTTTCATTCGGAGTTTCCCTAGATCCTCTTACATAGCAAACGCTTATCCTTGGGGACAGTTGAAATGGAATGCTCATAGCTTAAACAGAAACTTATTGCTGAATGCATTCGTTTGCATTTTTTGAGAGTGCTGAACAAAGCCGCATCCTGCTGTCACTCTGAAAGCCTGATTAAAACTTTATGATTGAATCCCAGCATCACTATCAGACTGGGCCAGTGCCAGTAACCCACCGTGTTCACAGAATACAAAGTCAAAATCTGTAAGGACTGGATAGGTGAAAGAAATATAGTGGAAAGTAAACTCCACTTCGCTTATTAGGCCGAGACAGGACCACATACAGTTCTCTCAGAGACTAAAAGGGGTAGAGGCCACTGGACGAGGTTAGGGTTAGGTTTAGGTTTGTGGTTGAGGCTAGGGTTACGTTGAACCAGGATGTGGATATGAAGCTAGGGTTAGGGTTAGGGTTGTGGTTGAGGATAGGGTTAGGGTTGAACCGGGATGTGGACATGAAGCTAGGGTTAGGGTTAGGGTTAGGGGCCATAATGGAATCAGCCAGGACTCAGTTTTCAAGCTGGCCTGTCAGAGAGATCCAATAAGTGGGAAATAAAGATGGACTATAACAACATCAATGCTCCCCTTGCTCTTCTAAAACCACTGTCATTACACATGGACATCTTTCATTGGGGCGTGGGGGTAATGGAGGGCCTACAGTATAACCTCCCCTTATCTCCAAGGAAACTTTGAGCCAGGTGTTCAATGGTGATTTGAATAGACTTAACTGCTCTCTGGGAGCAATGAAGGAAACCTGGTCATCCCTGATGTAAGATCCAGGTTGTTATGTATTTTTATGTGCCCATTGGGGTGGGTGAAACTGATTGGGGTAATGTAGTGTATTGCAAGTCACTTACTTGGCCTGAAATCAATGTGACCGGTGGTCAGGGAGTTCCTCTGTGATGGAGGTACATGTACCACTGAACAAACAGTGCCTTTGTCTTCTACCAGGTATGAAGTACAAACACACAGGGTTGCCTTCAGATAAACCCTCACACCGCAGGTATTGCTCTCTGTGTGGAGAACGATATCAACTTTGCCTTTAGAGCGGGGTGAAAGTTCTCAGAACAGGCTATTTAAATAGAATAATATTGGACCAATAGATCTAAAATCAATACTAATGCCACTGTGGACTTCCACCCTGATGGAAATCCACCAAGACAAATA